CGCCCCCAAATATGGTGATCAGCTGACCCCCGAGCATGCGGGCAAGATTCTCCAGCCAGACCCTCCGGAAAAAGTTCTCTGTAGTAGAAAAAGTTCTCCTCCCACTGGGAGGAGAGGGCCTGGGACCCCCTGGCCGCCTGCTATTCCCAGGTGAGGGGCAGAGCTCAGGCTGCTGTTCCCCTTGCAGGCAGGGTGCGGGGAGGTTTTTCCCTGTGCGCTCAGCTCCCTTGCCCCACCTGGGAAGGAGCCTGGCCACAGATCAGTGGGGGCGGGGAGGGGTGTTTTGAATCAGGGGAATATTCTGTCGTGAACTGCAAGCACTTCTGGTGAGTGGGGAAGGGGCTCAGAGACCAGCTTCTCTGTGGCCTGGACAGGTCCCCTCTGGCTCTGCCATGCTCTGTCCTCCTGTGAGAAATGTCACTGGCCCAAATGCCTGAGCTCATGGCCCTCTGCTCTTTGGCCCAAATGGCTGAAGTTTTTCAGCCGCTCTGGAGAAATTCCCCCTCCAAAACTTCCAGCTCAGGGCAAATGCTTGAAGCAGAGCAGGGCCAAGCCTTCCTGCCCTTCTGCCCCATGCGCTCACTTCATGGGCAATCAGCCACCTAGGGCTGGTCTACACTAGAAATGTCTATGTGCATAGTTACCTCTCTCAGGGGTATGGAAAAACCACCCCCCTGAGCGACGTAAGGGTTGCAGGCATAAGCGCTCAAATGCACAGCGGTATGTTGGCGCCCGCTGACAGCTACCGCTGCTCATTGAGCTGGTTTTATTATGTCGACAGGTGATTTCTCTCCCCTCAGCATAATGTGGCTACACGAGCGCCCTTAGAGCGACATAGCTGTATTGGTACAGCTGTGCCACTGTAAGACTGTAAATGTAAACATTCTCTTAGGCACCCACCTTTGAAAATGTTGACAATTCAAAGTCCTTATCTGACCCTTTCTGGAATTCACCGATCTCCACCTATCACTTTAGCAAAGAATTGTAAGGTCTTCAGGGCAGGGACTGTCTACTACTGTGTTTGTACGCTGCTGAGCACAGTGGGGCCTCATTCTTGGTTTGTCCTCAGGCACTACTGCAATAAACATGATTATTATTCATAATAATATGAGAACTGACAAACCTGTGAGGGGAACAATGACTTGTAAAAGATTGAGGCTTGAGAGAAGCAACCAAGCTGTTCTATTGAGCACATCTATTAAAAGGAGAACGGAAATAGAGAAAGTTTTACAAAAGGTGTTGAGACTCAGGACGCATGGAGTGGGGTGGGGATGATGAATCTCAGAATCTGCAAACAGGCCTTGATTCTGTGGGTGTGGAGTGATGGTGTGAAAGTATAAACACAAAGCAAACAGATGAGCTAGGTCCCCCTCTTGAGAGTGCTGCAGCTTGGCTGCCAATTACTCTAATCCTAGTAGTAGGAGTGAGATCTCAGGCTCCAATACTGCAATGAGCTTCACACATGCAGACTCCTGCACCCTCATGGAGCCAGAATCTCTTCAGTGGCCTAGAGGGAAATGGAAGATAGATGGAACGAGGTGTGGGTGGGACTGAAGAGACCTGGGCTTACTACCAAAAAGTAATATTTAATCATTTTTTCCCCAGCAGTGCTAATGAGGTGCTTAGCTATATGCTCCTCTCTTCCGCTCTGGTCCTGCAAGCACCTCTTCACAAGTGGAACTTTATACCCATAAAGAGCTGCTTGTTGGCTCAGGGCATAAATCACACACAGACAATACAGTTCAGGCATTTGCTTGTCTGGTGGGCTTTTAAAAAAATCTATATTCTAAATTTGGTCAGGCCAGATTTGGAATTTTGGTTTGGTCTAACTCTAGTTTCCATAGAAAAGCAAAGCGGTTTTGAATGCTGATAACTGGACATGAAAAAATTCTATCTTCAGAGGCTCCCTAAAATCTTGCATTTTGTCTCAAGCTGTATTAATACTTTTAAAAGAGTTTAGAATAGTATTTACAGTTTGATGCTACTGCTATAGAATGAGCTGAGGGGTGAAAACATTATCTGATACTTCTTTCAATACCTCCTCCTGAAAGCCCCATGGTTTTATTGTAAAGAAAATATTTTAATGGGGAAAGAGCATTTGACTGGTACAAGGGGAGGGAGGAAATTCCAAGCACAAGAGGTGGCATGGAAATAGACATGGAAAAAAGAATAGGAAAAGGTTCAAAGAGGGTTTCAGGAGGAAAGGTATATCAGCATATAGTAAGAACTTTGACATTCCAAATTCCCTTTTTGTTCAAACCAAAACCCCATTCCATAATTTCCCCAAGATTTGGGAGGGACAGAATTCAAAATCACAACCCACATTCAGAGCTGAATTTTGTAAATGTCCCCTAGTTTTATAAAGGGACAAACCAACATTGTGGAGGTGAACACTTTTGAAAATATTAGCATGTTTGAAATCCACATTACATTTTTACATCTTGAGCTTGACTGTAATGGAAACTATGATAAAACAATAGAAAAAAATCTGTAATCCAAAAAATAAAAATGAATTGTTTCTGTTACAGTAGTCCAGTGGCAAAGTATCAGTACTAAAGATTCCAGCAAAATTCCAAGGGTAAAAACCTGGCCCGGTTGAAGTCAATAAGAGTTTTGCCATTAATTTCATGCGGGGGGAGGGGGATGAGAGAGATTTCACCACAAATGTTCAGGCTTTGCTGTTATTGAGATTAGTTACATTTAAAAAGAAAAATAAACTAACCTGCCAATAAGGATGCTAAGAAAAAAGCCAGCCTAATAATCTTTAATCCACAGCGATTGTTAAAGACACATGTCATGCTGTCCTTAATTGTGAGTATTTTCTAAGAATTAATATACTTATTGATGTCATATTAGTGTTCACAGTAGTCATGTAGTATGTTAATACATTGGATTTGTGCCCATTCTTCTTACTTGATTCTTGCTTACCAATAGTTACTCTTCATCATTACCAAAAATAACAATTAAATAAAAATGTTACTCGAGACCACGTGATTGTTGAAGTTGCTTCTGGAGGTAGTTGCGTTTTCCCCCATCTGGACTTTTGTTTCCTATGGGATTTATTTGCAATCTACCGGATGAGGATCTGAGGGGAGTTTGCCAGATCTGGGGCTGCATCATTCAGCACATCTGGAAGTGGTTTATGGGGCTCTTTCACTACGCCAGTGCAATGTCTGGATTCTGAGCAGCTTCTCAGAGGCAGAAAAAGGAAAGAAAAACCAGCACCGCTCCAAAGTACACTTGAAGGATTTGAAAAAGGATTCCCAATTTAAAAGCATTACTGTGGCCCTTTAAGGCTCATGTACCTAGGATTTCCAAGGGGAGTCATGGGCAAGGCAGTTTTGGCATGAGCGCTTGCAGTTTTGGGTGAGCTAGGAACCAAGTGTTGTCGCCCTGCAATTCTTCTGGAGAAAGAAGCCGTGAGTGCTGTGCTGCGTTTGAAAGGTAAAGACTAATTAAACAGGAAATATCTAAACAGTAATGTCACTGTTTCATATGCAGCTTTCCCTGCTGCCGCCCCTCATTTTGTTATATGATCTGGCAATTGTGTCTAGAGACGTCAGATT